TAGCTGGTTGTAGTGAGACTTCCAGCTGCAACTACCACTGTTCTTATGAGTAGTCTGATACAAGTTTCTTAATGGTTAAGTCAGACTCAGGTTTTGGGAAAATGTTCTCTTCCCTCTCCAAGCAGCAAGAAGCAGCATGAGTGAAGGAGACAGAAGGCAAATAAATCAGGGCAACAAAGCACAGTAAGCATAAATGCCTGAAACACAGTTGTCCTACCTTCGCATAAATACATGCATTTGTTTAGATACAGAATAATAAGAAAATCTCAAAACAGAAAAAAACCAAAGTCCACTAAAACTTCTAGGATCTTTTAAGGATCCTCAAGATAGTAGATGGAGCACAGTCCTTTTCAACATTGTTCTTGCAGTACGAGGACTGCTGCAATCTAGCTGTGAGGGGCTAAGTCATAATTTGCTTGTATTTCATCTTCAGTTTAGTCCCTGTATGATGGCTTACACTTAAAATGAAATACAGGAGTTCTTATTAAGATTAGCAACTCCTGGGGATAAATTAAGAGAACGTAGATGAAATTCATTGTGTTTAAATCGAGCTGGAAGCTCAGTGATGTAACTTTTTTGAAACTTCAGAGTATTTAACTTCTTTTGACAATTAAACTTCTTTTGGGACTTATGATGAATTTGCAGTAGTTAACCAAGCAACAGGCATCATATTTAAGTAGTCATTAACCCACTGCTGGGAACAGACTATGTAGTACTGCAGATTTGGGATAAAACTGCACTGGGTTTAATTAGGCCACTGATTCACATGGCCTAAATTTAGACACTCAAGTTCAAAGAGATGTAGTGATAGGATATGACAGTACGATCATCTGAAAAGTTACTGAAGGATGAATCCATTCAGTGTGATCTGAGAAACCTGCCAGGTGGGAGGAGAAGGAATAAGAACGGGAACTGTAGAGATTTGGTCTGCGACTTCAGTCTTTCATCTTGCACCTTCTCCTGATGGTTACTTAGTCTGTGATGATTTTGAAATGCTTCTTAGCTGTGCCATAAAGTTATAAACATAGCTTTTGTATTAACAGTTCAAAACACTGGGGAACTAGATCATGTTAAATTTTTGTATATAGTGTGTTCAGCTGCAGGAGTCGTGAGCAAGGCCTGTGTGAGGATTCATCTCTTCCACACATCCGATTT